AAATTTTAACAATATCAACTAAAACGAGAATCAAAATTCAAGATGTCAACAAACAAACTACATAAATTTATAGATGTTGAAATAGTTTATTCCCTAAACAACTTAATATTCGTTCTTTATCTCACAAGCCAAACAAATCAAAAGGAAATTTAAAAGAGAATGAAATATTATAAGTTTCGCAATGAACAAAAATAAAGAATTGCACAACAAAATGTGATCATCAGTTGTCAACTCACATAAAATATACACATATGTATGCACATATGTGTATACATTCTTTAAGAATATGTGATGTGGCAGGGGATTAGAGAAGACGAAACCTTAATCGTCTTGAATGTCTTCGCTCGGACATTGTTCCCTCCAAGACTGAGAGAACTTCAAGTTGATAGGAGAAGATGTTTATCTAGAGCTCAAACTCATGGCTAATACTCCAAAGACGTTGTCATTTGTCAAACTCTTCTTGACGAATCCACATCTTCCTCAACTTACAAGCTAAAGCCAACTGAAAATCAAAATTATATTTTTTATTTAAAAAAAAAAAAGGAAACATGAGAGACCATGTCATATTCTAAGTTGTCTCTAGATTTAAATTTAAGTAGAATTTCCCATGATGGATTTGGCACTATCTCGCTTATAGGCTGAGATGCTCAGATGTGATGTTGTTTTTGGCCTTTACTTAATTTAGAGGTTCTGACATATAGGTAATCGGTATAGTATCATCATTATCATTATTATTATTATTATTATTATTCACTTAAAAACTCTTTTTTTAATAATTTAGATAATGAACTTTTTTATATAAAATTTATTGTTATTTGTTAATCAACAAATTTTTTTATTAAAAAATTAAATAGTGAAAATTAATTTAAGATTTATGATTGAGTCATTTTGTTAATTGATGTAAATAATTTTGGATGTGAAGCCAAGTAAATATTAGATGACTTATTTATCACTCGGTAATTCCCTAAAATGAATAAACAAATCAATTCAAGATTTTATTCAAAAACGAAATGAATAAAAACAATATAACATATATTATTACAAGAGTTAATAATGACATATAATGATTTATCTTTATGTGTACAGTCTCCAATACCTCATTCACTCAACTAAGAAATTCTCTCAATACATATTTAAGTATATGATATAAGCATCCCTATTGGACAATTTAAAACTAAATACAGGCAACTGTATTTAGCAAAGAAAACAAATAATAATAATAAAATGAAAATTACAAACAACTGTACATGTAACTATAGGTGTCATTAAGGGGTAAAATAACCCCCACAAGTAAATTCTGATAAAAGGAAAGAAAAACCTATTCTAATATTCTTTTTCTACATCTCAAAGGTATGAAAAAATAAAAACAAATAAATAATCACCTTCTCTACATTCTCATCTTTAACAAAAATTCACATCCTAATACTTACCCATACAGTAATAATTACAAACCTTAAATCCTACTTCTACCAATCTAATCGATAACATTCTCTTCTGAGTCGATTGTCATTGATCTCGTGCATTCAAGATTTTGTTTCTAAAATGGTATAACAATCAATTTGAAGCTCTACTATTCTCCAACCTAATAATTTCTTTCAAGTAAATCAATGTTCGTAAATTGAAAAAAGGTTCAGTCCCTTACTTCACTATCTTGGTTCATATCCTTCAACATGATTAGTTTTAGGATCTTTATATGTTCTTATTTGGCCTTCAAAATCTGAACTGTCCATAAAAGTAGAAGTTTGGGTGGTGTCATCTGGAGTTAACACGCTGGAATTCAAGAAAGGAGGTTGTGTTGGAGATGGAACTATATAATCATCATGTGTTAGCATCTCAACTATTTCAGACATCAATGGCCTTTGAGAAACTGAAGTTTGAGTGCAAAGTAACCCAATTTGAAGCACTTTTAATGCCTCTTCCTCCAAAAACTTGCCATTCAACCCAGGATCAATAGCTTGAGTAAGAGTTTTTCTCCTGTAATGTTTCCACACCTGACCCAGAACACCAAATTATGCTACCTCAGTGCTACAAAGAAGAAGTAGGTGTATATTTATTTCTTAAAAATCTTAAAAACATTAAATAACCAGTAGTTCAAGCAATAAGGCGATCACGATCCTAACGCGTACTTGTGGTTTTAGAATAGTATCAAAACCAGTCTCAAAGTCATTTCCATGTTGGACTGAAGATTCTGTTTGTACTGAATTTTAGTTTTGTTTATTTGGAACCATTTAACAGGAGAGTTTATAATATTTTGCATAGCCGGTTAGTAGTGTTATTAAGTAAAAATAAATGCAACGATTAGTATTTTTGAACACTAAACTGAGTCTACTATAATGTTCTCATTGTTTTAATATATATATATATATATATATATGTGAATATGTATGTATGAATATGATATCTTAAATGGGATTTTTGAACAAATGGTTGATATTAAAGATGAAATCTTACAGTGTATAAAGTTGAGTTAGAGCCTTGTGAGAAAACACTGTTCTTTTTACCAGTTGCTACTTCAAGTGCCAGAACTCCAAAGGCATAAACATCTGCCTTCTCTGTTAATTGGCCACGGACAAGGTATTCAGGAGCCATATATCCCCTGCAACACATCACTCAATTCTTTAGATATAATTAATTATACATATATGTTTAGTTTATGTTTAAAATATAGAATGTAATTAACTAGAAAGAAGAATGCTTACAGTGTTCCTGCAATGCCAGTACTAACGTGAGATTTATCAGCAGCAACACATCGAACCAATCCAAAATCAGCAATTTTGGGAGTGAGATTCTCATCAAGTAGAATATTACTGGTTTTTATGTCTCTATGTATGATTTTAGCTCCACAACCTCCATGAAGATATGCTAATCCTTCAGCTGTTCCTATGATTATATTGAAACGCTGTCTCCAGCTCAAGATATGGATTGTGTTCTTCACTGCATTCAAATCAAGTTTTTCACAGTCATCATCTTCTTCTTCTTCAAGATATATATATATGTATATTATATAATTTGAGAAAATTGGGCAAAATAATTAATTAGTTACCAAAAAGGATTTGATCAAGGCTTCTATTGGGTACATATTCATAGACTAGAAGACTCTCTGGACCTTCAATGCTGCAACCCATAAGAGCTACAAGATTTTTGTGTTGAATTCCACTGATTAAGTTGACTTCATTGAAGAACTGGTCAACCCATTGCCTTGTATTGAAGAACAATCTCTTAACAGCAACTGTTTTTCCATTAGGGAGAATCCCTTTGAAGACTGACCCAGCTCCTCCCTGCCCTAATTTCATTGAATCTTTGAAATGATTAGTTGCTTTGTCAAGTGTTTCGTACTCAAAATTCAAGCTGTATTTGCTTTCATGACCTGAACTCTCTACTGAACCATTCAACCCTGATTCAGGACACAAACAAAGAAAAAAGTCCCCCATAAATACAGAGAAGAGAAAGTTTTCTCTCAAAACTTGTATGAAAAGAAAACTGAAATTAATATATATATGTATTACCTTCCTTCTTCTTTGATAATCTTTTGTAGCCGATGTAAGCACCAAAAAAAGTAAGTGCAGAAACTGCAATCGCCATGGAAATAAAGATTACTATCTGTCTATTGCTCATAACTGCGCGAGAAAAATTTCATATTAGTCCACCGAAAAAAAAGATTTGATCAAGAGAAATCAATTAAGTGTAAAAGAGATTTTTACAGGGATCGGAGAACTCTTCCACCACATCATCATAGAATCTGGCCGTGGAATACCTCAAAAAGCAACCGGTGAAGAGAGCTCTACCCTCTGAATTTGGAACACATGTTCTTAACCCAGATTTGGCTTGTAACAGGCAATCTCTACAGTCATTCTCGCTGAGAGTTCTCCAGCATTGAGCCATGGTGTAAACAGTCACTGTCTCTCCCCCAACTTTCGCCACACCAAACCCTTTGTTCTTAGGTGCTCTTTGGGTAACATTAACAAAAGCTTGATCAAGCGTACTCTGGAATTCCCTGTCCATGGAATCCTCCATTGGAGAATGCATTTTCACTCCATTACACTCAACTCTATCGAAAATTGGATTCACCTGTTCGCCCAGGAAATTATACGTGTCGAAACGGAGAAAACAACCGTCTGTATATAGACGTCCATATTCTGCAGGGAGGCAAGAATCGAGCTTCTCTCTGCTTTCGTTGAAACAGTGAATGCATTCAGATCTGGAGAGATCGCCCTGGCATTGGAATAAACCGAAAATGCCTGGGAATGGACTGGTAACATATGAAGAAGCCCAGTTGTTTCCATTAGAGATCTTAACGTTGATTGAACCCATGACTCTAAGAAAATTCCAACTTAATTTGTAGCTAGAGGATATCTGTTTGGGTCCACAAAGAAGATAATCTTCAAAGAGGAGAGGATCAGAAAAAGAAGGAGACACCCAAATGGAAATGATCAAAATAAAGAATACCCATAAATTTTTTAGAAGGATTGAGGTTGAGAATAGCATCGATTTTCAACGGAGATCCCTCTGCCCTTCTCCTCTGCAACTATTCCCTTCGAAGGAGGCCTGGGCGTTGCCTCCGTAATTATAATTAGAAAAGGAATTAGGATGGAGCGAAATTGGGATTAGCAGAAAAATCCATATGAGATTGGGAGGAAAGGGGATTGAGAATTGCATCGAATTCAGAACTGTTTTTTTTTTTTTTTTCTTTTTGGTTTTTCCGTTGATGGGTTTGGTTGTTTCTAATACTTCCAGCTTCTCCTCGTCTTGTCTCCCGCCCTCTCCCAGCGAACAATGGAGAGGGAGAGAGGAAACCAGTCTTATTGGGTGGTGGAGAACTGGTGGATTAGTAGAATTCTATTTCTTCTCCTGGTCGTTAGCATATTTAAAGAAACGGATTTTCTTGATTGTTTTCTGGTTTAGGTTTTTGTGGTATTTGCAGGAGGAGGATGAAGAAGATCAACGAGAGAGGGAAGGATAGATGAACTGGCTTTTGATTCTGTTTATCTTATTTTGGGTCTTAATGTATGTATACGTGCATGCATGGCTATAAATTTGTCAACTGAACATAACACCTACCACCTTCTATTACTAATTTATCCATAACCTAATCTCTAGTTTTTCATTTATTTTTATTATTTTTATTTTATTATCTTATCACAAACACACGTGTGTATATATATAGCAAACTATATTCACCTATTTCTGTACATAAAATAGTTAATTGATTAATCCCATAAATCTATGACCAACTGCTATTGCTATACAGATCCATGACTTTAACTAACCATATATAAATTTATATTCAATAATAATAATTAATAGAAAAAGAAAACTGATTACAGCTTTAGAGGCTCCAAAAAAGAAAATTGTTGAAGAGGAAATTATGAGCCTGCCAAACTGGATTTTGTTTGAAACGTTGAGGTCCAGATCTATAATCACTCATTTGTTTTTTCCAACACATCAATTGTTTAAATACAAATGTAATAAACATGAATCTAAATTGTTGTATGTAATTATGGGTGTTAATTTCTTCGTTCGTATCCACCCACATCACACAATTGAAACCAAGCAATTTTTATTCTTGGATCCTGATTTAGACTGAATAAATCAACATTAGATGGAACAAAAAGATGGAAGCTATTATTTTGATTGAATTAGTTCTTGAATCAAAACATTAAATTAGCCTAAACAACGGAGAAGAAAAGCGCCGGCAGTATTACCACGCTTTAAGTTTTCTTAAAGCCCAGATACACTAGGACTTTCCATTGTAATTTGCAAAAGCTAAACGGTGAGTATCAGAGAATTTACAGAAGGATTTAAGTGGGAAATACATATAACATATATATATATATAGGTAAGTAAGGAGATTGCATGATGAGGTAGGCTAGGTGTCCATGTAAAAGGGTGCGTATAGACTATCCATAACAGCAAACTGCATGTTCTCAGATGGTTTCCAATGGCGCTTCCTTTGATTTATAAACCAGTTGTTTATCTGTTTCTGATCTAGACCCGTTGTCTCAGCCAATGCAGTCTTATCAGCTTCCTGCATCATCATCATCATCATCATCATCATCATCATCATCATCATCATCATCCTTAATTAATTAATTAATTAACTTCATTTAGAATAAGTAAGGTTAATTAATTTAATTACCGTGGGGTAAGGCCATTTGTAATGAAGATTCCACCAGTCAAACAAGAGTTGCCTTGCCTCTTTGGGTAGTTTCCCTTTCTTCTTCTTCTTAGAAAATTCCTGCTTAAGACTGCTAATATAACCACTGTATTTACTCAACAGTTTCTCCTTCAGCTGACGATCCTCCACCATTCTCGAACACTCCGTTACATCCATCTCATCACCTCCACTCAATTCTTCCTCAGATGATCCACCTCCTTTACTATCTGCATGTACATGCATACATATATAGTAAGAGTTGTGGATGTGATGGAACAAGATGAAAAGGGCGGGCACATGACATGGAGGAGGATGGCAGGATTCCATGTTTCTTTCGATGGTAGATGTGATGGAACACCATCATATCATATCATATCATACTGATAAACAATAATAATAAATTTAGAAAGATATAAGGTGCGTTAATGGAGGATGGTAGGACCCACTTGACATATTTTCAACACAGTACATCTCCTGCAGAACCCTAAAAAGAAAATAGCGAGAAAGAGAGAGAGAATAAAAGATTGAAAGGTGGTTGGTTATGTCGCGTCGCAGTCAGATATGGTCTGCCAGTTGCTTCTTACTCTTCTTCAATCTCACTCTCTGACCACTCATTCACACAACACAAACAAAAAAAAGATCAGGGAAACCCGCTAGGCACGCACTCTCTTCTCGATTTACGATATGTCTGTCCTTGATTCTTGAAAACTTCAACTCAATCAAACTGCATGCTTACTTTCTCGCAACAGAACGTCGTCGTTTCTCCCCCCACATCCTACTCCATTGCGTTTATTATATACATAGAGAGAGGAAAGCAGAAGAACAGGCATTTAAGAACTGGAAGACAGACAAGACCAACCTGCTTTACTAGTAAAAAGAGCCTCTCCATCTACACCGCCATCCGCGGGCGTTCAGCTCATATATCACAATTTTACATAAATAACACACTTCACTCACATATAAATATATATACACACACGTACAGGAAAGAGAATACAGCATGTAAAGGACAAAGAAGAATAAAAAATATGATGGAAAAGGATGGAACTTAACCAAAAATATGAAAGATGAAGCAGATCATCGCATACTATGTGTCAAAAATCCCATGCAAAAAAAAAAGAAAGGCTAGTTTGATCATTAACTTGGTTGCTTCCTTGTTCATTTGTTTAGCTTGTAGATAAAGTTGACACATGACAGATACATCGATGCTAGCTTCGAGCTAACATTAATGGACTAATTACTTCTCGTGTTCCACATCGTATTATTCAAAATGAAAATGTTCAACTCCCTCTCAGAATCTCATTTCTCAAGATAATCATCATGGCTTTTGTGATTTTGAAAGGTTGCAAGGGTATTAGTAAAAGTTTCAAAACCCAACTGAGACTCAACTGGAACAGTAGGTATCCACACCCCAAATGATCATGACAATTTTAGCAACAGGAGTTACACAATATCTATATACATGTAAATGTATATACGAGTCTCATGGGTTTCACTTTAAATATAAACCTACATGCAGTGACTATCTAAATGCATATGCATGTCAAAGAAAAACTTGAAGGTCCCATTTGTGCAAGAACAGAAATTCAAAATGAGGAAAAACATGACTGGAATATGAAAATATTAAAGAGAGTTAGTCCAGGTCATAAGTACATGTATATAATCAGCATTACACATAAAATAAACATCATATAAACAAAGTTCTGCTCATAATAATTTCAACTCCGAAAGTACTAATCAACCCCAATATATAATACCTGTATGCATCAACCAATAATATGCACATGCATATATACATATACCAGCTAAAACTTCAACAAGAACCTATCTCAAATATGACTAATTCTCTCTTTGAATCTCGCTTTTCCTGACATGGAACTGATTAAACTTGGCGAGTTCTAATAGTAGTATAACTAGTAGATTGTACATATCTAACTATATTAATATTTTGGAATAATACATTGAATCTATTATTTAACAGTACTTATCACCTTGAATCATATATACATAATGTTTGCATGTCTACAATGGAGAAGAGCATGCTTTTCTTTTTAATAATGAATGGAGCAGAACATGATTGAACAGTAACATAGCAGAAATATAGCATTAACATATAGCCAAACAAATATATATATAGATAGATAGAGAGAGAGAGAGAAAGAGAGAGAGACCAACCAATGACAAATAAATCAATTAAAGGTAATTCATTCTTATATTTAAACTAACACACGCGAAACCCAACTTGAATGAATTGGCATTTTAAAATGCCTTAAGTACACCAATACCACAAAATCAAATTAAAAAACTATGCATATTCATGCAAATCAACTGGGAACTCCCCATTCCCCACCACCCACTACAAGGATTAAAGATTAAAATGGCAAATCGCACATAATGGAGTGATTTTCTAATTATAAACAGCTTTAGAATCTGCGCATACCGGGCATATATATGTGTATATATATATATATATATATATTTAAGTACTATAGTTTTCTATATCTCAGGGTCTAGTTAAATGAAATCTACAATCTCGTAAAAGCAACACAGCCAGAAACAACATACAAAAGCAACTTTCTTTTGAAGTGAGATGCTAAAAACAGCCTGAGACCATACTAAATGTGTATTGGAATATATAAATAAAATGTTTAAGCGAAGAAGTCTACCTGGACTAACAACAAAAGCCTATGGATTCAACTATTATTATATCAAACATCTGACCTCAAAAGTAGGACATCGATCATCAAAAACAAAAAATTAATATTAAGGAATCGAAGAAGAGATTAAATGGTAGCCTGACCAACAACATATTTTATATTGGGAAAACCTAATTTGTTGTACTTCACTCTGCCATAATATCTCGTGTTCATCTCAAGATTCTATAAGGTATATATAATATAATACTTACACGTTTTGATGATAAGGGCGATTAACAAGAAAAATGATTTGCTTTCAGTTTGGTTTATTTTTAAACCCATGAAACTGCCTACAACTATTCCCTATGAGTTACTTTTATTTGAAAAGCACAAAATAGACAATTTGAATATGCATTGATCAGAACAAGAAACTAAACTCTAACATATGATTTCCATGGGTTGGCATTCCCTTCGTGCCAATACTTATGATACTTTATACTTGATATTTCAAATATATATATATATGATTTCCCATGCCATATGGGTCTTAACTCCCATCTGTGGCACACAATATTGAATAATTCATGCACAATTGATTAAAAACTAGAAAAACCAGACATCATTATATAGGACACACTTGCACTCCAAACCCAAAAGGAAATCCATCGATCAAAACAATGTTGGTTAAAAGAATAGATCAGCACAGCACCATTTGCAATCACATACTTGAAAAGAACATCATATATATATATATGTAGACACACACATATATGTATGTAGACATTACATTTAGCAGAAACGTGTAAGAAAGTTTGAAATAAAATCAAGTTATAAAATTTTCAAGGCTTCCCTGAGGAGAAACTAGTAAATAGTTAGAATATTTTCTCTGATGCCATTTTCCCTCTTAAATAAAGGTTGTAAAATACATTTCAAAAGCATTTTCTTCTAGACTTCTAACCCGCATGCTTCTTACATTTTCATTGCACTATCGAGACACCAAACAGAAGTGAAGTATAATCGTAATAGAAAAATACGATTAATTTACCAACCAGGCAAACTCATTTGCATCCTCACAGTTCCTTTCCTAACTTTTAGATGTCTGATATTGATCTTCAAAAAATCACAGTTTCTTTTTCTTTAAAAAAATCCTAATCCAACAGCTTTTGGATTCTTACTCAGCAATTAATGTAGCAATAAACTTGAGTTTACGCTAACGTGGTATCCCCCTTGTATACTCAATAATTACTTCATAAACTTTATTGGTGATAATTTGATGTTAGTATATACCCGTTATACAAAATAATCTCTCTTCATTAACACTATACCCTTCCAATTTCCAATCCGCTTGTTAAAGATGATGCTATATTTATACAAAGTGGATTACCTAGTAGATTAGCTATCATATATAAATTTTAAATTGCCAATAAAGATATCTAGGATAACAATGTGTGCCCTTGATAGAACGAACCTTGTGTAAAAATTGGGAAGAAGAACACTGCAACTAATTCCAATATCACCATATTACACCTATAGGAAAATGTTTACATACACCTTAGACCTACATGCCACAAACAGTCATTTATAACTTGCAAAGAAAACTTGGGTACCCTAGAAGATCTTCACACACACACACACACACATGCACATCTCTAGGGTTTTTCCTCTTTCTTCATTTTCAAAGTATATGAAGACAATGCTAAATGGGGAAAGATAGATTTGCTTTGAGTTTTTTTGCACGAGGCATATGATCAGTAAAACTAAAGCCCCAATGCTTTTGCAGGTGCCAGCTACTAATATGCGCTAGGTTTATGCTAACGTGTACCTACTTTTTTTTATCTGAGAGAGCTGAGCTGAGTCGAGGCTCCTGTCCCCATGTGATAAATTATAATCTATTAGCAAGATTAGCACCCGTTGATCAGAGAAAACTTAAAAAAGATCACAGCACAGAACCCAATAAACTAAATAAACAATCAATAACTATTTCATATATATATATATATATCATTAACATGGTGGCATGGTAGTAGTGGATAAAAAGAGAGAAGCAGAGATTAACCGAGAGGGTTAGTTGTGGAAGCTCCGTTGCAGAGATCGGCGAGCTGCGTTTGTATGTTGTTGATAAACGACGTCGCTTCATCGAAAGGCCGAGACAGATCCGATTTATACTTCACCAGAATATCGCAATATGTTTCCTTCTCAAATTAAAAAAAAATCGAAAACAAAATATGTTATTGTGTGAAGAAAGATGCAAGAAATTTAAGGTGTGACTACGATTTCTTTTGGAAACCAGAGATATATTTATATGTGTGAATATATATATAATGAGAGAGAGAGAGAGAGAGAGAGGAGAGAAGAGAAAGCTGTGGTTAGGGTTTTTCCAGTATTGTGATAATATAATTATAGAAAGTGGCGAGAGAGAGAGAGAGACCATGAAGTAGTCGAGTTCAGGATCAGCGCCCAAGCAAGAAGGGACGACATTGGTTTTCTTACAAACGACGTCGCTTTCCCCCTTGATTTCATCCAACACTTCGACTACCTCCGGCGGCGCTCCTACCTGAGAAGAATAATAGAAAAAAGGAAAATGAAAAGCCTGCATTAATTAAACCCAGTGAAAAATCAAGAATTTAAAGGGAATGGAAAAAAACGATCTTGAATTGACCAACACATCCGTTTAATTAATTTATCTCTCCACAAACAATTAATTGACTCCCTCTTGACTCGTTCAAAGTCCAACTTAAAAGTCTCCAAGTTCAAATCCATATAATACAACTCATGTATACATGTATATATTATTACAGGTGATCATCATCAATATCATATGCCAAACAAGACGGCGAGAAAAAAATACCATGAACGCACATGCAATTTACATTACGTACGTCTACAAAACCAAACATTTTTCTTAACGTTTTTTCCTTTTAGGTTCCATGATTTCTATATTTCCCAGTATACTGTTTATGAGAAAGTTGGAAGAGGGGAACTCGATTTTTCATTTTATAATCATTTTTTCGGCAACCAAACAAGTGTGTGTATGTAATGTTTAGATATACCTTCTGGCAATCGATATAAGCTTGGAGGAGCTTAGGGTAGAATGGGTGAGAAGCAATTTTGGCCCTAATTGCACTGGAGACATCCTCCTCTGACCCCACCCTCTGAATCTGGGCCACCATTGAAGCGTCGTCGGACATGGGGTCGGTGGACGCAAAAGCGGGAAAACCCAGAAAGCCTTGGCAGATACTGGGCGGACACTCCATGGTCTCCGGTGGGTGCATGTAATCTCCTGTTGTTGATGACAGCGCGTAAAGCTGATCGTCTTCCATGGTTTTTGGGTTGGAAGGAGAAGAGTGGAGATCAGATGCTGCAGAAACAAAATATATATGTATATAATTAAAAAAGAGAGAATATATTGAAGGTTGAATAGCTGTAGTTGGGATAAAGAGAGGAAAGAGGATGATGAACAAGTAAGAAAAGAGGAGATATGGAGAAGTGTGAAGAAGTAATGGAAGGAGATTGGTTGATTGATTAATGGGAAAATAAAAATAGAAAGAAGCCTGATTGCAAAGTGCCGTTTAAGTGGCCATGGAACCAGTAGCCACTAGCCAGTAGCTTGCTTAGACAGAGAGAGAGAGAGAGATTTAGCGTACAAACAAGGAGAAGCTCTGGAGCTGGAGCTGCCTTTTTTCGGTTTTTATTAAACTTTTTTTTTACTCTGTGATGACTGCTCGCTAGTTTAGGCACACGCGTTATGGAGCGCGTTTATATAATTAATTAAATATATTTTTAATATTAAAAATATATTTAATTAATTAAAAATATAAATTATTTATAGTAAATAGTTTCTTTCAATTTAATTATACTATTTAAATATTAAAAAAATTATTTAAATTTCATTAAATTATATAATGTTATTGAATATAAAATAAAAGCAATTTATATTTTTAAAGTATTCTCAATATTAAATTTAATTTGATTTATAATGCAACACCGGACCTAAAATTTAGACATGAGATAATAAGATTTTAATAATAAATAATTTAAAAAAATTTAATTTCTAATTTTTATTTGAAATTTTAAAAAAAATTATTGTTTTGGATGTATTTAAAAATATTTTAAAAAATCAAGATTAAATTAAAAATAAAAAATTACTTATTTAAAAGAAAATTTGAAAAACTGTGGCATAAGTAAATATAACAAAATAATAGCCATGTGGACCGTCACATCAGCAGGGCAGCCGGTCGTCGTGCGCCGTGTAGCAAACATGCAGACATGCATCCACGCAAGAACCCACGCTGACAATCTGCATGTCAACAGATCTGACGGCCCAAATCTCTTCCCGCCAGGTGGACAGTCGAGATCGTTCCTCGAATAAGCTCGATCGAACGACCCCCATGTCACGGATCAAACAGTCCAAATTAATTTCTCCTTCAGGCGCAATCGAATGATTTTCAGCGCTCCACGTGTCCCTGCACATACGAACCAGATTGACGCCGAAGAGGTATGTAAACCTCGCTTCCCAAAAACCTTAGCCCTATTCGCATCTGACCCTATCGAAAAAGAAGAAGAAGGGCGAATGGAAGGAAAGTTGACCACTATCGCCATCGCACCAGAGCTGCTGCCGACACCGGGGAGGTGAGTTCATTTTACTTCAAAATTTGATTCTAAGCTTCCCCACAATCATACCAATGTCGAAAAGCCAAAAGGGAAGCAAAAAACCAAGAGTGGAGCTCGGTTGAGCTGCCGCACCCATAACCCAAAACCTCTCCAATTGGCTCGATCCCGCTTTCTATTTTCCTCCATTTTTCAACCATTGAATTCCTAATCCTTTTCTGGTACAGGACGACCAAAGAAAATCCCCGGCCGCGAGAGCCACACCACCGGAAAACCACCATGCTGAAAAGCTTTGGTTTTTTTCCTTTTTCCGGCCAACAAAGGCCACCTAACCCCAAATATTATAGGTTTTCGCACAGGACCAGCCGAAACTGGCCAGACCAAGAGGAGACACCACCGTGGGCAGCGGAGCCAGCACCGAAGCACTACGACGTCACTGTGCCTGAACCCTAAACCGGCCAAAAAATTTTGAAAACCCTTATTTTTTGTCTTTTTTAGATATTTTGGGATATGTGATGCGTATTTTTAATTTTTGCAAAAAAAATCCAAGAAATCCAGGAACTGCCAGGAAACGCAATGAAAAATGTGATGTTTCGAACACCGATTCAGGGTAAGAATTCCTCACATTTCTCCCGTTACGGTTAATTAAAGTTTAATAAATAACAAACGTTATAATTTATGAATATGGGCAACCTCTAATTCATTAAATACATATCACTAGTGGAGCTGGTAACTAGTCAATACGTAATTACTTATTTTACCTATATTGTTCATTCATTGCTAGGTTGTTATTGAACGCTTACCACATGCACTTTAATTCATAGATTTAATTGTCTTTCCGTTTATTGATTTACATAACCGTTTTATCCCTATTTGTTGATTAATTTGGAATGAGTGTCCTGATCATGCTTTTCTTAGTTGTTAAAGTATCAATTTATATTGTCTGTTTAATTATCGTTATATTGTTCTGTAATTATAGAATGAGATAGTTGTGTGTAATTGGTGGTTGATTGATGATGTGAACACGTATGTAAAAGACTTACGGGTATCATGAAAAAGGGTGTGCGGAGTCGGTACATAGGGCAAACCCTACCGTGGATATTACCTCAATCGAATGGAACTAAGAAGTCTCATACCGAAAGGAGTTAGGAAGTATTTTTTTACCCTCATACGGAACGAGGTATTGAGGTGGTGGTACGTCTTGTGCTCATTACCGAACAAGGTATGGAGACGAACGGTTAATTAATGAATTAGATATTGGGTCCAAGTATAGGGGGAACCCTATAGACCCCCAGAGGTACCGGTAAGTAAGTAAAAAGGTAAAGTTTAACTATTATTGTTTCTTAGAATGTATAATGAATTTTTATCTTGATTATTGTCTTCGCAAGTCGAATTTTGAGAAGTAAAATGGTGAGTATGAAACTTACATTTTTAAATTAAATGAATTTAACTATGAAGAAAAATGGCTTCATTGGTTGTTTTGTGATTTTTACCAACCTTCGATTTCTTTATCGATTGTTAAGTGTTAACATTTTTACTGGGCTAGTGTAGCTCATTTCCTTTATTTAACCATTTCAGATCAGAAAAATTAAGATCCGAATCCTAAACGGCAAGAGAATTAGTGATAAAGGTTACCTCTTGCTTTCTATCAGAATTACTTTGGGGAGGTTGACCCTATAGGTTTCTAGTTATATTTTTATTTCTATTATTTTAATCTCTTTTAAGGGATATTTCCATAACCCTATTAAGCCTCTAAATTTACTGTGCAATGAATGTAAACCCTAAATTCTCAATTGTTTCCGCTTATATTACATTAATTCAATATTTCCATTTTATTAAATTTTGGGCTTTTACAGTTAGTATCAGAGTCGTGTTCCTCGGAACCATTCCTTGCACAAAAGGTTAGAATCATTCAATACAACCCAACTCTCAACCCTTCATTGTGAAATTCAGTTACAAGGACATGAAAAGAGGAAGACCTCCACTAAACAGAGTAGCTTGGGATGGGTCATTTTGAGAGGATATTGATCAGCTATTCGAAATGATGGAGAGACTCATCTCTGTCCAGCAGGCCAAGAAAGAGAAGAGGGAGCTGTTTGATCCTCCACCACTGCCATAGTATGAACCACCCCTACAACGAGAGGATCTAATGCCACCTCAATATAACTCTGCTCCTCCACAATATTATTTGACATTGCCACAGTACAATCTAGTGCCCCCACTATACAACTAGATATCGCCATAAGGTCACCTGGTTCCTTTCCAGTATAATTTAGTCCCTCTTTAACAATACTCAACTCCATCAGGAATGGACATAGGCTACATTGAGAGGTACAAAAGACTTAACTTGTCTACTTTTCCAGAGGCATCCCCTTTTGAAGAAGCTGAGTACTAGTTAGTTGAGACAAAGAAAACTTTTGCAACTCTTAAGGTGGTTCTCGAACAGAATGTTATACTTATCATTTACATGCTCGTGGGTGAGGCAGGACATTGGTGGCAACTGAAGCAGGCCGCCCTACCCATTCTGGTCACCTAAGAACATTTCCTAGCAGTTTTTAATGCAAAGTATCCCTTAAAACACCTTTAGTGTTTGAAGAAGATAGAGTTTGCACACCTGATCTAGGTTGATATGACAGTGTCTGAGTATACCTAAAAAATTTTAGAGTTGGGCTGATACTCTCTTGAAAGCATAATGGAAAGGTATAAAGGTGAGGAAGTTTAAGTGGGGCCTTCATCCTAAGATTAGACAGCAACTGTATATATTTAAGCTCAGCACCTACTCAGCAATTTTGGCCAAGGCATAGCTGATAAAAAGGAACCTCTGTATCTTTTGTAACGACCTCGAAAATTTAAAAAGAAAATGTATATAAAGAATATAAGTGCATAAGCGAAATAAAAGGTTCTGGTTAATATCCCTTACACAATAACTTAAACGTACTAACAATACCGAAAATAAGTCCTCTAAAGGAAAATACTGGAAATGAAAGACTATAAAAGAAAATAATAAACATTTAGGTATCTACTCGTCGTCTTCTTGTAGATCGGACTCAGAAATCAAGTCCTCCTGATCTGAAATAGTTAAGTAAGGAATGAGCTACACTAGCCAGTAAAGACATCACACTATATCACTGTCACAGAAGTAAAGATTGGTAGAAAACCAAAAACAACCAATGGAACACAAGTTTCAAGTAAATTATTTATCAATAATCAAACAATTTACCGTCCACTTACCTCAGTGGGATTTATAAAAACGACACATGGAAACAATAACATCATAAATATCATAAGTTCATACATAATCTGTAACATAGTACATGTCATACTTTTATATTTCAATCATCAAACAACAGTTACCTCCTTTTTATCAGCCTACTAGTATCTGTGGGGATCCATAGGAGTTCCCGCTACCTGTGAAACCATTCCCTTAACAAACTTAATTTTCAAGGCCGTCCCCATACCCCGTCCGATATGGGTGCCAAATAATAAACCTCAATACCCCGTCCGGTATGAGGGTGAAGCGAGCCGTCCCCATACCCCGTTCAGTATGAGCACCAAAATATTTAAAGTCTCCATACCCCATCTGGTATGAGACAACGTTCCCGGTAGGGTTCCCTGTGGACCTGGTCCGTCCACCATCTTCCAAGATATCTAGTGAGGCTGTTAACTTATCCATTTATCGATTCACATAAATTTTCTATTTTTTTTTCTTAGTTTTCCATTTCTCACATAAACATTAATACTTAAACAAGTAACAAGTATCCAACAAGGCAAGCATATCATCGGATTCACAAAATCAAGCCATAGTGAAGTAAACAGTGATTCATGCATTCAAAACCATATAATAAATAACTTAGATACTATACTGCATTTAGACTGTAAAATAAATCAAACAGGAACTGACAGAGAAAAATGTCCGGTTCGGGCTCCATTAGCAACCGTAATAATTATGTATATCTATTTAATTCATACAAATATAGTTTTATCATTTATTAGACTTTAATCCCGTGATAGGAAATAGGATGAGGGATCCTTACCTGATTCGAAGCCGAAAACTAGATTTTCATTGCACCTACGGGCAGTCCCTGGGTTCCCTGAATTTTTTCTCGGGA